CCCCGCCGCGCACATCTCCGCCGCACAGCCGCCGGCACCGCAGCACCGCCGATCCAATCCCGCTGACACTCAAGCCTCTCAGCTCCTGCACCGTGCGCTGCCCTGGTCCCTCCGCCTGGCTCCAGGACGGACCAGCACCCCGCGGAAGATCGCTGGCCGCAGGTTCGGGCAGGGAGCGAGCGAGCGAGCGAGCGGGTCGGCAGCGGGCGGGGCTGCAGCGCTCCGAGCTTCCTCCCGCTCCTCTCGGTCAACAGCGGCGCCCGCAGCCTCCGCCCGGCACTGCAGGCACCGAGCGCTGCTCGCTCGTGTCTCGCTCTCGGGCAGCTCGCTGGGATGGATCAGCAGCCAGACACACACTGCTTTTCTCCTGCTGATCTCTGCTTGATCCTCCAGCTGATAACGACCGGGCATAAGCAACACGCCTCCCGTGGTCTTGTTATAACCACCACAAGGGCAAATGTTTTCGTCGTGGTGATATCACATGGAAATCAATCTCTCTTTGTATTACGTTTGGAAAACCACGACTTCAATTGCACGAGTCGGGAAACACAAATTCCCCCACAAAGCTTTTATACAACTCGTGATTGAAGAACTCTTTCCTTATCCATTCCACGGATCAAAACAGTGTTGGCGTCTAGGAAACCACTCAAACAGTCACAAGCCCCGAATCCGATACTGCAGGGACGGTGCTTACTTTGCACCCGCACATTACATTACCATGAAAATTCTACACTACTCCCCACGCCGCGCCCGCGCTGCCGCCCGCCAGCCAGTAGCTCACGCGCCCGTTGGCGCCCGCGTCCGCGTCCCGCGCCTGCACGCGCAGCACCAGCGCGCCCGCCGCGTTGTTCTCCGCCACGTACGCGCTGTACGCCGCCTCCTCGAACACCGGCGCGTTGTCGTTCACGTCCGACACCTCCAGCACCAGCTCCGTGCTGCTCCACAGCGCCGGCCTGCCCCGGTCCCGGGCCACCACCGTCACGCGGTGCTCGGACGCCTGCTCGCGGTCCAGCGCGCTCGCCGTCACCACCTTGTACGAGCCGCCCGACGACGCCACGATCGACAGCGGCGCCTCTCCCGACAGCTCGCACGACACCTGACCGTTCTCGCCCGAGTCTCGGTCCCGAACTTTCAGCAGGGCCACCACAGCGCCGGCCGGCGCGTCCTCGGGCACGGGGCTCGAGAGCGACAGAATGGTGATCTCGGGCGCGTTATCATTCTCGTCTGTGACGTCTATCTGCACTTCACAGTGACCCGTGAGCCCGCCTCCGTCCCTCGCCTCCAAGCTGAAGATGTATTTATTCTTCTCCTCGAAATCGAGGCGACCCACCAACCTGACTTCACCATTGTCACTGTCGACAGTGAACAATCTGCGAAATCCTTCCGGGACGTTACCAAAGGAATAGAAGACCCGCCCGTTGGAGCCTGCGTCCACATCCGTGGCCACTACTTGCAACACCAGGGACCCTTCCGGCTGACTCTCCGTAACTCGTGCCTCGTATACTCTTTTACTGAACACGGGCTGGTTATCATTTGCATCTGTCACGTTGATGCGAATCTGTACAGTCCCGGACCTCGCGGGATCCCCGTCATCTACGGCCGTCAGCACCAGCTCAAATGAGCTCTGCTTCTCTCGGTCCAATGCTTTCTCCAGCAGTAATTCAGGCTGTTTCTTTCCACCCGGGTTTTCATCCAAGACGAGAGAGAAGGACGGGTTGCTGGAGAGCTCGTAAGTCAGCTGGGAGTTACTTCCTGCATCGGCGTCTCGGGCCATCTCCAGGGGAAAACGAGCACCGGGAAGCGTCCATTCACCGATCTCGAGGTCCAGAGCAGCTTTGCTGAAGACCGGGGAATTGTCATTCACGTCCTCGATCGCCACCTCGACGTGGAAAACGTTCAGCGGGTTGTGCACCAGCGCCTCGAAGCTGACCGAGCAGGTCGCCGACTCGCCGCACATCTCCTCCCGGTCCAGCCTCTCATTCACGTACAGGTTCCCGTTCTCCTCGTTCACCGTGAAGTATTGCTTCTCCTCGCTCAGCCGCAGCTTGCGCGCCGGCAGCTCGTCCGCGCTGAGCCCCAGGTCCCGCGCCAGCGGCCCCACGAGCGAGCCTCTGCCCAGCTCCTCGGGGATGGCGTAGCGGACCCGCTCGGCCGCCGCCCGGCCCCACACGCACAGCAGCACCGCGGCCAGCAGCGCTCGCCCGCCGCCCGGCCCGCGCCTCTGCCGCCGCCTCACCGCCATTCTCTGCCCGCAGCGCTCGCCGCGCTCCTGCCTCCTGCCGCTGCCCTGCCTCCCTTCCAGCCGCTCTCGCCGGCGACAACAGAGACCGCTCAAACGCAGCGAGCTCGGCGCGCCGCCGCTCTCCGCCTCTCTCCGCCGCCGCCGCTGCTGCTGCTGCTGGCGGTGCCGCTGCCGCTGTGGCCGGCGCCGGGCGAGCGAGCAGCCTGCGGGGGCAGGACGCTGCGGCGGCGGCGGCGGCGGCTCCAGCGCCGCTCGGCGGCGGCCAACAGCGACACCCGGAGGCGCCGCCGCGCCACTGCAGCCGCCGGATGGCCGCGCTCAAGGGGGCCCGGCTTTGGGCGGGGCTCAGCGGCTGCACCGGCCCCGGGGTCTCTCCCGACCGCAAACACAGAGCAGGAGCACTTGCTTAAAGACAAGCAGGAAACCCTATGATTAGAGCAACAATGTCCGTGTGATAACGATCTAAGTATTTGTGGCTGCAATAGACATGGAAACAAGTATTACACCTTATCAAAGAGTTTTGCACTCTCTGGTTTGAGATGGCACGAAAATCAGAAACCATACACGTGTTCCAAAAATACAGATTTGTTCTCTCATGCAGAGTCAAAGAATTGAAACTAAAATCTGAAAAGAAGATTGCTGAGATGCTTTACAATTTAATTGTTCCAGTGATACCCGAGATATTCTTTGCCCATCACCTGTGCAAAACCGGTGTAAATCAAAAGGACATTTTTACAGTGATTAATGCTTGTAAAGAAATGTGTAGCACAGAAGCAGTGGATCTGCTCTCAGATAAATGGCAGTGTACATACATCCCTGCCAGGGAATAAGAAAGTGCAAAGCAGTGCAGACTCTGCCCTGTGTGCATCTTTACACTGACTCTTCTTCCATACAGAAAACCCTCTGTGCTTTTGGTGGAAACTCAAAAATTATGCCTGCTACAATTATTGATTTAATATTTCCATTGTTTTGATTTTCCTAACCTTTAGGCAAAGTCCCAACATCTCCCGAATCTGTTTCAGGACTGCAAAATCAGCTGAATGGTTTTCAATGAATTCTGAAGATTCATATACAAACCCCAAACTTCCATCTAACCTCATCAGAGAGGGGGAGATATTTCAGTGCTGTGATTTTTCTGTGCTTTACCACAACACAGCCTTAAATATTCTTTCCCAGAGCAAGTGGAAACTCACTGAGGCCTCAAGGTGCCAGCTAGGCAAGCTGCAAGAGTATTTCAGGACTATAAGGTCTCTCTGACTGGACTAAATGACTTTACTAAGCACCAGAAAAACAGAAGTCCTTGGCACTTACTATATCAAAGAAGCCAAACCAAATACCTCCCACTGCCATACCTGGGGCAAATCATTGGCTACTGTGACACATCAGGGCCTGTGCAGTGCAGGAAATCACACAGAGCAGCTCGTAGCTGTGTAGACCTCAGAGACACAAGAAGAATCCCCAGCTAAGTGGAACTGGACAGCGGCATTTTACAGCTACCCACTTGAGTTAAGCAATTTTTCATTTTCCTCACATACAGCATTCTGTCTTCATTTGGTTCTCAAGGGAAGTTACTATTTCCTGCAAAGCAGCACTCACATGTGGGAAGGAAACATGAACCATGGCCTTCCACAAAAGAGAGCCTGAATTGAGATCCAAGGTGGAAAATGTAATTACCACTTTCATGAACTCTCTATCAAGATATGTACTTCCCCTCTTTTATCACATCGACACCCGGAGGCGCCGCCGCGCCACTGCAGCCGCCTTGTTCGAGTTCATTTCCAATGTGTGTAAGGCACCTTCCCACTTACGGGTACAATCCCTGGGCTGCTGCAGCAAGAAGAGACTGGCAAAATATGAATTTGCAATATCCAATTGCATCTCTTTTCCAAACCCTCTCTATCTCTTCGTACCAAGCTTGCACATCTTTTCAATCTTTCCTGATATATCATCTTTCTGCCCACAGATGACACTGAGGCCCACACAAATGACTTCACATTACTCTGAAATGCTCAGGTCTGGTTCTGATTCTGGACAACAATTAACACTGAGGGAGAGATGTTAAGTTTAAAGGTAGTGGACCTCCACTCAGACCCATGTCACTGTACATACCTGCCAAAGGAAAGTAAAGCACAAGGCCATGCAGGCTCTGCAATGTGCACACCCCTGCACCCACTATGCTTTAATGTGGAGAAACCCTTGGTGGTCTTGGTGGACTGTTAAAACTTCAAGGCCTGCCCTAAGAATTGTTGCAATATTTCCCCTGCTTTGATTTGAAGTGCTTCTAGACAAAGGCCCTATCATCTGGTCAGTCCATCTAACAACAGCATGATCAACTGAAAATTTTACAGTGGTTTCTGATGATTGACACACAAATCTAAAACTCCATATGACCTTATTGAGGAAGGTATCTTGGGTCTATGATCTTAAGTTTCTCTTCCACAACTCTCTCTTAGAATCTCATGCCCAGAGAAACTGTTGTCACTGAATCCCAGAGGTTACACTGATTTCACAGGGTTGCTAGGTATCTTTTAACTGTACTGGGTGACTTTACCAAGCTCCAGATATTGCTTTTTTCAGAACAAAAATGCTTCCTGGCACTTAATAACTTAAAGAAGCCAACCCAAAACCTCCCACTGCCCCACATGGTGCTGATTGTTTCTTACTGTGAGAAATCCAGGTCTGCACAGTGTAGAAAATCAGAGGAGAATGTAGTCCTGCAGTCCCCAAGAAATAAGAATAATCTCCAGGTTGGTGGGACTGGCCATCTGTGCTCTGCAACCTCTACTGTGCTCTGGAGCTTGGCAGAAGGGCTCCAGAGGTGATTGCTGCTATGGAATAAGGCTCCTTGGTCTTTTTTATGCTTGTTATCCACTTGGAGTCAGCAGTGGGTGAGACTCTGTTCATGTTCTTCACGAGGCCTTTTTTGCAAAGCAGAAGCTCAAATCACTCCCTCATTTCTGAGTATTTAGAAAACACACAAAAAAAACCAAAAAAAAAACAAAAAAAAAAAAAAAACCAAAAAAAAAAACAAAAAAAAAAAACCAAAACAAAACAAAAAAAAACCCACAAAACAAAAAAACAAAAAAAAAAATCTGTGACTGGCCTCTCTGAGGGAGATAGGGGACTCCTGGAATACACAGGTGCATTCTCATTGCATTCTCATATCTCTGTCTTAGAAAAATGTTTTACAAGGCCCCTGAAAGTCACCAGTGTCTGAATGAGCGAGTGAGACTCTGAAGTCTTACTTTGGACTATTATAGTAGTGGGTTCTGGTTTTGGAAAGGCACCAGTGCTTCCACAGGAATTATAAACCATTCTACCCATTTATAAATTATTCCACCCATATGCCATCATTCTCATTTCTTTAAAACCCTTTCTGGATTTCAGATTTGTTTATGACCTCATCATTAACAAAAATACCTTGTGAGAAGATAATGCATCATGATCATGCACATAAAGGAGATACAGCTGTTTCATCACCCCCATTCTCAGCAAAAATATAATTATTAGAAAGCACAGGAATGATAAATGGATGAACTAAATGAGAGGTGGTCATCCAACAGTGATATAGTCATCAAACCATTCACTTAGGGGAATCTCTTCCCCTCTTTTATCACACACACTCTTCCACAAAATTGTGACTTACTCTAAGGGCATGTTTACATCTGTTCACTCAGAACTAGAACTCAAGGGACTGCCACTCACATCTCCTGCCTTCCTCACCAGCTACAACGTGACTAAACAGACACTAAAGAAGAAGGCCTTGGCAAATGAAGCTTTGCCACTACTTCTAATTAAACATACATATGGAGAGGGGAAAGAAAAAACAATTGTATGAGCAAGCATGCATTAAGTGTGTTTTCAGAGAAACTCACCAGGAGGATGACTCAGTTTTAACTTTGGCTACAGAAATTCATGTCTGATAGTACCTGGAAGTCACTGAAGTCTCCAGCTGCAAGTGATACCCTGAGGTCTTAGTCTGGAACACATAGTAAGAAACCCTGAATTTAAAGGCTTTATCCTCTTGGCCTCTTGGTCAAGCCAAGTTTTGTGAGAAAGTTGAACAGGATCTCTTTTACACTGTTTCTTCATCCTCACACATAGAATTTTGTCTTAGGTGACCAAAGTAAGTATTTCCTGAAAAAAACTCCACTCATAGCTTCTAATGCAAAAGCAGTGTCCAAATCCAGGGAAACAGAAGCATGACCATGCAGGGAAAAAATGCCTAGAAGGAAGAAGTGTTGGTACAACCTTGAAGAAGCTCTCCATTGCAACATTCCAGGGAGATATAATTTAGATAAAGAGGTTTCAGATAGGAATTAGAAACTTGCCAAAGCTGGGGAATAATTCCTCTAGGAAACCCTCCAAGGAGCAGAGTGATGTGCAAGGGTCTTTTCCCAGGCTCCTCTATCAAACAAAGAAAGTTGTGGTTATAAGGAGTCTCATTCAGCCCTTTCCTGGTTTATGCAATTTCACTCTGAGCCAAATAATTTATCCCAGAAAGCCACTGGGAGCTGCCATATTTATTTTCTGAAATCTCCCTGCTAGGCAGCATGGCTGTGTGGTGATGACCTCCCACGACAGGGGATACCTCTCATGCTTGCTCCTTGAGGCAGGGAGATCTTTTACCAAGAAGAGCTCTTTGGATGGGTCTAATTTGAGGCCTCCTAAAAGTGAAGCTGGACATGCATCAAACTTGGTTAAAAACATATTTCCACAACATCACATTAAGACACTTTTGATGATACTTCTGACAGAGATTCTTTAGGCAATCCAAGTCATTCATTAATGACATCTAACCAGGCATCAACCTTCTAAAATTCAGTGCTATTGGACAAATGCTCTGTTATCAGGCCTGCCATTGCCTTTCAAAACAGGGAAACCAGGATCACAGACAAAAATGGCACACCATGAAATCAAACAAGTCCTCAGTCAAAACCACATCAAATCACTTAATTTCCTAGTAGGAATTCAGCCTCTTGCTCTGCATTCACAGTATTCAGTTGCACCATGGACAAATCCAACTACTTGGATTATTGTTATCTTATGTCACCTACAAGTGAAAAAGAAATGGACGTTGAAGTTCAGCAGTATTTTATGAAACCTGAAGTATATCAAAGTCTTTGTCTTGGCATCTAAACACCTTCAGGTGTGAATAGAAACTGCTCCCCTAACCTGTTAATTTCAACAGATCTCCTATTCCAGGTCTGTCAGCCAAACCGAGACCCACTTTTACAACATGAGAAGCAGCAAGGAAGGAATGACAAGAGCACAGAAGTGAAGAAATCATAGCTTAATATTTCAGGCTGTGTCAAATGTAGCAGGTACACAGGGAGGAGTGTCTAGTGTCAAG